CTTTTTCTGTGAAGGAACTGGTGTCCCTAAGAGCAGAAATAGCTGGCCGCCATTGAATAATTCTACAAATGAAAGTAATTTAAAAAAACTTCACATATTTAATAAAAACAGTGATCAAACATGATCGATCACAGTTAATTCAACAAAACAGCTTGAATTATCATTTTGTTTTGATAACTGTATAATAGTTTAACCCTTTCCCCCATGAGCATATTGTGAAAAATAGCCATTTTCACTGAAAAGCCTCCTCTTACAAGTTCAAACTGCTATGAAACTATGAAAAATGCTTCAATACTAATCAAACTTGGCACAAAAATGTTGACTGGACCATTGCCCTTGTAACGAAATGCTCAGTCTTAAATTGCCTGTTACCATGGCAACGAGAGGACATCTCAAAATTCCAAAAATCACTATTTTACCTCGGTTTTTTCCATCAAAATTTATTTCAAAGTGCTGCAACTTCTCAAGGGATTGAGATAGAGTCAAAGGCTTTTCAGCGTTGGTTACACGTTACGTTATGATCGACCTGGGGTCATTTTAAGCCTCTCACAAGTCCAAAATTTTTTTAGCAACATTGCTCAAACGAAAACATATGTTTGGGGCCCAAATAGGACATTTTTTTCACTATTTCAGGCCTAAAAAGGGTGGGGGGTCGAAAGTGCGCTATTTCGCGTATATATGAGGTAAAGGGTTAAATGTTAATATAATGATATTTACGTGTGATAATAAGTTTAGACTTAACATTCAAATAATTTCATTTAGTTTATAAGCAGACATAAAACAGTATTTAATAAAGAGAGGAAAAAATACAAGTACGCTTGATGGTTTGATCACAAATACGGCTTAATGCTTTAGATGGATCACTCTTTTCCTTCTTGTATATGTTCTTTCAAAGGCAGCGATATTATTACAAGAATGCAGTTCAACAGTTCAACAGTTCAAGCATATCTTTGTAACAAGTCCATGATTTTTACTATGTAACACGTAGTGTCTCTACACAATTTGTGCAATGAAATTACTCTTTATATACAACCTTATATATTACGACTAGGCTTGATGATGTTTGACGGATGACAAATGTCTAGTTCTTTTCTTTGTAGTTGCAGAGAAAGCATTTTCGTGTACCTCTAGATTGCTGATGTAATATGAGCATTAGAACTGATGTGAGACATAGCCATTTACGTCAATACTTACGTTATGGAATACACATTTATAAAGATCGTTCACGACAACAAAAATCAAATAATAAAAGAAATGTCTTGTTGGCAATAATATCAGTATATTTAGTGCATAAAGTTAACAAAAGGTGATCGCCTATTATACATGTATATTGGGCGATATCAGATCTGAAACTATAATTTTAGATCTTTCGATCATCAACTGATGAAGTTAACTTATTTCTAGAACAGTTCACGGCCGTCTTAAAAGAAATCATTAAGAGTAATAAAACGAAGAACAGAATAAATTCTTTTATTTGATTCAATTTTTTTTTACTCAATTGCGGGTAGTAGTATATATTAAAAGTTGCATGTAGAGGCAGGTAATTGTAATCAAATGTAGGGAGAACTATGTAAATATGAATAAATGTGAACCGGTTGTTAGTGGAAAGTCTGTTAAACCATTAATATATATGTTGATTGAAGACATTTATGTCTATTGCGTTCATTGAACGCCGCCTTTCCTTGTTGATCTTATTTATCATATTTTATATACCGATACATGGTGATCACGATGAACACACATTATAAGTCGTCTGCATGTTTACCGGAAGTAATGTACATGTTACATCAACATATCTTGAAATGGTGTCTGTTTGTATCGGTTAATTTTGTAAAAATATCTAAATTAAAACGCAAAAATAAAAAACATCAATGCGAGAATGATGACACCGCAGAAATAAGATACGCAGAAATTTAAAACCCCTTATTTTAACCAAAATCGCAGAATGTTAAGCCCGCAGAAATAAGTACTTATACGGTAGTGTCATTCACGACAGTAAACCTCGAACTATTCATGAAGGGATGTTGTGGGTAAGTATGAAATACATGAATTCAAACGACGGATCTTTATATAGCTTATGAATTAATATAGACGAACTATTATTACTCATCTTATAAATATTTATAATAAATAACCAAAACATTTTTGTTCAACAGAAATTTAATGATTATAATGTATTAATATTGTTTCCATCAATATAAACTTTAAATTTCTGATATCTCAAATACATTGAAACACACAATAACTGATTTAAAAAAATATATATATACTAGAATAATTTTATGTTTAAGTGGAATTAAGTTATGATAAGACTAATAACATTTTTTTTCCTTTTGCAATGCTATAATTATTTTATATTAACCTGGGGCGTCCGTGGCCGAGTGGTTAAGTTCGTGTGGGTTCGAATCCCGACAGGGACTTTGAATTCTTTCATGTGAGGAAGCTATCCAGCTAGCTTACGGAACGTCGGTGGTTCTACGCAGGTGCCCGTTCGTGCCTGAAATAATGCACGGAAGAGCACCTGAGGTCTTCCTCCACCAGTAAAGCTGGAACGTCGCTATATGACCTATATTGTGTCGATGTGACGTAAAACCCAAAACAAACAAACAAAACACTAACTAACTTTATCTATTTGTGTATCGATCAGTTTTTGCCTTAACTCCAGACATCAGCTAAGACTGAGGCTTCATTATTGCAAGATAAGAACGTTGCTGACAACATGTCATCGTCTTTTATATCAAGTGTTCCTTACAGACAAGAATATATTATATACAGCTTTATGAGTGCAGTCATTATATTATTCTATTTTATTCTATTTAATACGACGTGGACATCCTTGACAGGATGACGTTTCTATCAAACAAGATCTGTCAAAACAGAAAATATTGATCAAGGGCAGGATTCAATTATTCAAAGGAATATGAATAATTCAAACAATTATATACTGTTTCCTCTAAACGTCTTTTGTTTATGAACTCCCATTAACTCTTTTGTTCATGAGAAGAACATAGTCAAAATGCAAAACATTGTATAAATGTGAATACATCTGTCGAACTAAATAATTTAGATAAATATTCAAAATTTGATGTACGCTGTTTTAATGACAGATAGTCTAATACAGGACAGTATATGGTAGAGATGTGAACACATTCGGCTCAGATTCCTTTTTATTTTATCACTGTTCCTCCGATTTGAAAATTATTGTTTGTTCAAATTATCGTTTTACAAAATACTGAAATTTTTTTGGAAATCGTTTACATTGAAGTGGAACACTTCTAGGAGGGGGAAGAAGAATGTTGTGTTCTTTTTAATGCCCCTTTTCTTAAAAAATAAACTGAAATATCAACAAGTCTCATATTGATACTGTATAAATCCGGTTATATTCTACATACATAAATACCAGGAGATATCACATATTTTCGCGATCTTCTGTAGTGCTGTTTATCAATGATAATGTATCAGTGATAATATACAATGATAGAACATCAATGCTATTTATACGATGGTAATATAACAATGACATTCATACTATTTTATACTATTGCTGTACATCAGAACATATTCGTGTCCTGAAGGAAATGTTCTTATGATTAGATTACACACATGTTTGAAAATGATGAAATAGAAAAGTCATGTTTTAATTAGATTTAGATTTACTTAGTTTATAGAGGTAAATATATTTATTCTATCAGGATGTATATGCTTTATAACAAATTTTAACTAGAATTTACTTTCATTTAAACTAAACATTTATGTCTTATTAGAAACTATGACGAATAGATATCACAATACAACAAGCCTCAACGTTTGATTACATTTATACACGTAGTAAATTTAATCTCATCATAAACAGGCTCAAGCAGTCTTAATTCATCAGTACAGTATATATAAATTTATTATACATTCATTTTCTTCTGATTTTAGTTAGTTACATTACATTAGTTAATTACGACATAATTGTAAGAATGAGTAGTATACTCCATTATCTTTTATTATTTAATTATTCTTGATTCGATATGTTCTACAATTAAGAGAAATAAAACCATGCTATTTAATTAATAGTATATATCTTCTCAGAAATTTATTGCCCTATTTCATGCTAGGCCCTGGAAACTTTCCTTTGTGAAATTTATCTAAATGTCATTTAATTGCACGATATTATACAATTATTATCATCATTTAGCTATAAAAAGAGGAAAAGAGAAAGTATTCAATTAGACATGTAAAACACTGTTTTTAGCTTTGAAAATGTATAATCATTATAAATAAAGATAATCTGCTTATTATCTAGCCATAAAAATGGAATTTAAGTAAAGGATAAATGAAATATTCAAAACAAGAACAATAACAAAAGATATTTTAGACAAAATTTAATTCAGTTTTTATACATTGGCAATGGCAACTACATAAATGTTTCATCACAAATTAATCTTCGTGTTATTTCTGGCTATATATTTCAATTTCTTAGTAATAGCATGCCTAAAATGCATTTATGTATTCTAAGAACCGAATCACATTAGATTTATACCTTGATTTCTGGGATTGATCGAATCTTAGGCTTTCAAAAAAAATCATGTTTCATTGAAATTTTTATTTGTTTTGTTTGATACATTGTATATGAATTTAAGAACTCCATTGGATACCTGTATTTTCAAAATGATAATATACTGAGAACAATTAAAGGGAGCACGATTTGTCAAATTAAACCAGATGTAATATCTTTCGAAACGAAATTATATTACTCCAAAAATCATAATATATTTTTTTTACATTCATAATATAAATTGTTTGTTAATATATACTTAATTTACGCCTCAGTATACATAATAGAAAGGGCAGTTGTGAATTGATTGTTTACATAATCAGAAAATTTAGAACAAACATAGATGTCATCTAACTAGAGACATACTTCATTTAGAAATGCAAACGATCATACAAAGGTGTTGAAAGCAAAATCTCGCCTACGTGATACATCATTTCATGTGATCTTCATTCATCAGGACCAATCCAAGGAAGAAAGAGTGGCGGCAATAAACTTTCGTGCGGTGATGAGGGCGGTAAACAGGGGTGGTACCCTATCAGTAAAAGGAAATCGCGTGTTTCATAACGACCGAAGTGATAATCGCGATAATCGTGCTGACACTTCAAATTTTGAAGTGCAGAGAAAAAGTGATAATAGTAGGAATCGAGATTCAAATTATAATGACAACCGTGGTGGTAGATCTTCTAATAATAATGCTGGCACCTCGCGGCCAGATAGACAAGATGTGAACAATAGTGGTCGACAGGGTCAGGGTTCAAGGGGAAGAGGACAAGCCAGAGGTCGTGGTTACCAACAACGGGGATGGCAGCAAAGAAGATAGGCCAGAATAGGTTTTTGGAACGTTAATGGTTGGAGTGTTGTGCAAAATAGTGATAATTTTTATGTTAGGGAACAATGTGCTCTATTTTTAGATTTTGATATTTTAGGTATAGCTGAGTCACATCTTAGAAATAATGATGCTATATATTTATCTGGTTACTCCTGGTTTGGAAATAATAGAAAAAATATTCATGTTAATGCAAGATCAGGGTCAGGGGGTGTGGGTTTTCTAATTCTGATTTATTAAACCTGTATGACATAAATATTGTTGAAGACAGTTTTGATGGTATTTTATGGTTGAAATTTGAAAGTAAATTCTCAAATGAAAAATTTTATGCTTGTGTATGCTACTTACCACCTATTAAATCGTCAAGACAAACTGATGTACAGGATTTTTATGACAATTTTTTAGCTGGTATCTATATGTTTCAAAATGATGGCATGTTATTTATATGCGGGGATTTAAATAGTCGTATTGGTGATAATTTTGATTACATTGTTGGTGTTGATAATTTACCTGAAAGAGATATTGTTGATTATAAGTTAAATATGTATGGTGATTGTTTAATAGATTTTCTAATTGACAGTAATATGTGTGTTCTTAATGGTAGAAATAGTGATAGCAATGATTTTACCTCTGTATCCACTAAAGGATGTTCTGTAGTGGACTATTGCTTAGTTCAACACGAGTATTTGCATAGATTTTCTAACTTCACAGTCAAAAGGTCTACACAGCTTATAGATGAGATAAGTACAGTGAATGGTTTGTCTGCTGTGTCTATTCCGGATCACTCTGTATTATCATGGACTGTGCAGTTAGGGAATTCATATGAAAACCCTGCGGAACAACCCGACAGAAGTCATAGTGTCAATGTTACATTTGATAAGTTTGATTTAAAGGGTATTCCCGAAAATTTTATGTGTTCAGATGATGTAATAAATAGTATTCACCAATGTATTTTTAAACTAGAACAAAGTTTACAAGAGCTAAGTGATGTAGATACTGCATATGCAGATATTTGTCATAATATTAGGCATGAAATGTATAGTAAAGTTCCATTTAAGAATATTAAAGTTAACAGTAGAACGTCTAATAAGAAAAGAAAAATAGGGAAACCATGGTGGAATAACAACTTATCTTGTCTTTGGAATACTGTCTGCGATGCTGAAAGCAACTGGCTTAAATGTAATATGCGTGCTGAAAAATCAGTACTTCAATCTCGATTTATTTCTGCGAGAAAGAATTTTGATAGGGCGGTACAGCAAAGCAAGCGTCAATACTGGGTAGGTTTGCAAAATGATTTATTGTCAGATTGCAAGAGTAACCAGACTGAATTTTGGAAAACCATTGGCAGGGTAGGTGTTTCACAGTCAAGAAGTAGACAAATACCTATGGAAGTTATTACTGAACATGGTGTTTCAAATGATGTTAACACTGTTCTTGAGAAATGGAAAAATGATTTTAGCAAGCTTTTTAATAGTCCTAATACTACAAATACTGGAAATTTTGTGCCTAGTGGTAATCTTATGAATGACAATACAGAAATTTTAAACGACAATATATCTATCTTAGAAGTGTTCAATGCGGTCAAACAGGCTAAAAATGGTAAAGCCTGGGGTTGTGATAATATACCTATGGAAATCTTGAAAAATGATTGCTCCGTGTCTTTTCTTCATATTTTGTATAATATCTGTTTTTCAAAAGGAATTATTCCTTCTGCATGGAATAAGATAATAATAAGACCTATACCGAAATCAAGTACTGCCGATCCAAGAGATCCATTGTCATATAGAGGCTTGTCATTGTCTTGCACCATGTATAAGATATACGGTACAATTTTGAATAACCGTTTATCAAAATGGGCAGAATCTAACAATATACTCAGTGATGAGCAAAATGGTTTTAGGAAGGGTCGCAGTACCATTGATCATGTATCATCTTTAACTAATATTGTAGAAACTAGAAAGAAACAGAAATTATCAACCTTTTGTGCATTCATTGATTTCCGTAAGGCATATGACTTTATCGACAGATCATTGTTATGGAACAAATTAGATAGTAAGGGTATCCATGGTAATATGTTACAGGCAATACAGTCATTATATAACTCAGTTTCATCTTGTGTAAGGATAAATAGCCTTACAACAGAATGGTTCGATGTTAAATGTGGGCTCCGACAGGGGTGTTCCTTATCTCCTTTATTGTTTAATTTGTTTATAGATGATCTTGTTGTAAAAATTAAAGCTATTGGTAAAGGAATTGATATAGATAATGATAAGGTTTGCATTTTATTATATGCTGATGACATTGTTCTTGTAGCTGAAACTGAAAATGATCTTCAACTCATGCTTAATGTTTTGTCAAATTGGTGTACATCAAATGCTATGATTGTAAATCAAGATAAGAGCAACATTATTCACTTTAGGTCGCAGTCGGCCAGCAGATCCTCATTTGTTTTCACATGTGGCGAGCATAGTCTAAAAACTGTAGGACAATATACTTACCTTGGTCTGTTACTTGATGAGTTTCTTGATTATAATAAGACCGCTAAATGTATAGCTCAAAGTGCAGGTAGAGCACTGGGGTTACTTATTGCCAAATCGAAAGCATTAGGGTCCATGCCATATGATGTATTTGTTAAATTGTATGATTCAATGGTTTGGCCAGTCATTTCATAGGGTGCTTCTATTTGGGGTAATAAGTCATTCTCCTGCATTGATGCGATACAGAATAGGGCAATGCGTTTTTATCTGGGGGTAGGGCGGTATACACCTACAGCAGCTTTATATGGAGAATTAGCTTGGCAGCCTACACATGTGAAACAATGGAGATCTGTATGTCAACAATGGCATAGATTTGTTAGAATGGATGTAAATAGAGTTAATTATAAGATCTTTTCTACTTGTTTGCGCAAGAGCAGCAATAGGTGTAAAAACTGGCAATTTATATTTAATAATTATATGGAAAAGTTAAATTTAGTAGAGTATGCACGTGGTTGTGCAACAGTCTCATCTAAGTCTTTTTGTGAAAAAGTTGTTCAAAAATGTATGTCATTATATAAAGATGAATGGATAGCTAAGCTTAATAGGAATGTTAGTCTAAATGGGAATGGTGGTAATAAATTGAGAACCTATAAGTTGTTAAAAAATGATTCTAAAACTGAAAATTATTGTAAACTATATTTGCCACGTAAACACATGTCTGCACTAGCGAAATTCAGTTGTGGAGTAGCTCCCATAAAGCTTGAAACTGGTAGATATGAAAACATTGCTGTTGACAGTAGGATATGTCCAATATGTAAAATTACAGTTGAATGTGAAAAACATGTATTATTATCTTGTAATGCATATGAGCACATTAGGTTACCTATGTTAGAAAAAGCACGTAACATAAGGCCAGAATTTGTTGACCTCTCTGATGAAGATAAACTTGTATTTATTCTCTCCAACATTGATATTGTTAAAGTCACAGCCAAAACCTGTTACAATATTCTTCAACTCCGCTACAATATATTGTACAAGTAAGGTTTTTCAGACCACTTGTGTTTTAGTTTCTTTTTTAAAATTAATTTTAGTATAGTCTTTTAACATCTTTTTCAGATGATCGGTGCTTATAGTACATGATAGTAAATTTTATTGTACAAATGTGATGATAGTAATTTGTATGATACAAATGAAACATATCTGTTTTAAACATGATAAGTTGTTTTTACCTACTAATGTATAGAATATCACCACTGACCAATCATCCATGGTCTGACCATGGGTGATATAGTTTTATTAAATTTGTGGAATAGTGCCACTTTTTAGAACACTTAGAGATGCCACTTTTTAGAACACTTAGAGATTTATTATCAAAATATCTTACAGCATTTCTTCATTTATTTTTTATTGAAGGTCAGTGGGGATAATCTAACTTTTATGATGTAAAATGGTCTTATAATGTATTTTTACTGTTAACAATAGGAACTAAATATCAATTGTAAATGGATAATGATAAGTATATATATGATATGGTCTCTTATAATTCTATTGTAGAATGGTCATATGTATTTTTTTATCAATTTTTAATATGTTTTATGTATATAAGTATGCATATGAAAGAGACTGAAATAAACTAATAAACTACTTCATTAGACAATATACATCAGTAGGTGTAAGGTGTAGGTTTTAGAGAAAATATTTAAAAATCAGTTACCATACGTAATAAGAAATATATTATACTATATCAGATCGCAGAGTTTCTGAGATATTTTTGTTAGGTACAATACTAAGCTTTTTGAGGTACGTGGCAATTTTGATAAAATAGTGTTATATTATTGCTTCCAAAGGCTAAACCTTTTTTCATGTTTTTGATTTATCTCAATCAAAAATATTCATTTTTATTTATATATACTTATAACAGAAATATCGAGAAATATTGAGGAAGTAAAATGTGTATATTTATTTTCCGCATTTTCGAAAGACATTATGCGATTGTATATATTGTCTGAAAGTGTCAGTCTTTTTCTTCGATTTTACGATTTCCAACAATCAAGCGATCATTGAACATTTTAGCAGACTTATAGCTGTTTTATTACCACTTCATTTGATTCCATACCAATTAATGTTCTGAATCAGATTCAAGGTTTGGATTTTTTTTATATCGTTTAATACCCGATATCTTCGCCCAGAAATCCATTTTAGATTGAGTCAAATGAGTTCAATAAACATGTTGATTAAAAGAAGGCAAATCAACTGAAAACAATAAAGTGCATAGATCTAGTTTCAAAAGTAAGTTTTATTGTTTTATGAAGAGAACAACTTTTACTTACAGTAAAATCAAAGAGTGTTAAGAGAAAAAGATTACACCGTTATAATTTTAGCTTTAAGAAACCAATTAGATACTGATAGGAACCAATTAGTCAAAATATGAATGTCAAAACCATTTTACTACCAAAATTTAATACATTAAAACAGGGAAAAAAGACATTTCAGCACATTTTAACACATAATTAGTGT